GGCCGGCCGGCAGGGATCTAACCGGCGCAGCAGAGGCTGCAGACAGCTTCACAGCGCAGTGCTCAGCCACCTGCGCCACCAGGGGAGGCCCATGTTCACTCTTGATCTTCCTTCCCATGTTTCTTTTTCTGTCATTCTACCTCTCGCAGCCTCCACTTCCACTAAAGACTTGAGATAGCTTGCAAAACAAACAAACAGACAAACAAACAAACAAACAAATAAATTACATTCAGGAAATTTCTGAACAAAAGTTCAGAAATTATGTAGAGAAAAAGTGAAAATCATTGTACCAGATGCCAGCAATGATGTAGTGGTAGTGGTTGAGTACTGAATTTGACTGAGTTTCCTGGCAGCCAAGGCGAAAAGGGATATTCAATGGTTTCCAATGTTCATGTTGCTCAATCAGAGGCATATTAGTCATTCATTTGGAGAAAAAAACTTTTTCCAAGTACTGAAATGAAGGAGGGATTGACAAGGAATTTGAATATTCTAATGGGCAAAGGTTAAAAAATAAGTCATCAGTATGACTGTTTCTTTTTATTATATCTAACATATGTTGAATGCCTAATATTCCATGACAGACCAGTATACATCCCTAGGGACTTTACCTAATGGTAGGCAAGTCTAGTTACCTAACTTGATGAGGGGTAGAAGTGGGAAGGGGACAAAGGAATGTTATGGAGCTCTTGTTCAAACACTTCCCAATACATTTTTGTATGTTGTAGTTAATGTCACACTCCTGGACCATTCATTCATTCAACAAGCACTTAGGACTTTCTAGGGATAGTCCGTCTTCTGTGTTCTCAAGGCAGCCTAGGGAGAGACAGGCAAATAGCGGATATACTGGTGGGGAAGTATGACAGTGGAGGTCTGTGCAAAATGTCACAGGTATGGAAGCAGGGGATTGTGATTTCTTCATAGGAGAGGGGGCCCAGGAATGGCTTCACTATGGAGGTGATATTTGACCTTGTCCTTGTGGATATTGGAGGAGTTCCCTAAGTGACTGAGTGACAAAAGTTATGGCAGAGATACTATAGTACCTATAAATGGCTGAGAAGCTGCTGGTGTAGTGAGGTTCCAGAGAGTACAAGAGACTTGACAAAAATGCAGCTGCATTTACACATCACAAGCAGCTCAGAGGGACACAATAGTGAGGACTTAGGAGTCACCATGTGCCCAAACTAAACAACTCCTTTGGGAGCAGAGTAAGAGGTGTGGAATCCCACCAAGAAGACAGTCTGGACTCAGGGGGCAGCCCTGTAAGGTAGGGATAGTTTAAGGTGCAAGTGCAAAAGAGTGAGGGCTGGTTTCCTAGCTCTGCTGTCTCCAAGCTCTGACTCTTTAGAAAATTCCCTTTACCTTCTGACAATCGGTGGTTGTTGGTGACAGGATTTTTGGACCTTCTGCCATGTGCATAACACAAGTTGAAGAGTTCGTGTCTTAAAAAGATGATCCAGGGTCTCCCCTGGTGGCGCAGGGGTTGAGCGCTGGGCTGAGAAGCTGCCCGCAGCCTCTGCAGCGCCGGTTTGTTCCCCGGCCGCCAGCGAGGGTCCCACAAAAAAAAAAAAAAGATGATCCAGACGCAACTGTTGAAGTGACTGGACAAACTGAGGCCAAATTTAGTGACTAAAAATCAAATGGCAAAAAGGCTCTTCCATCTGCTCGTTAAAGAAGTTAAGAGGAGGACATCCCTGTTGGCACTCTTAAATTTCCTTAAATCCAGGTTTGTTCTACTTTCTTGGATGAAATAGAGGCTTTCTCTGGCAAACCCAGCTGCCCAGCCTGGAGTCCAAGAAGGGGACAGTCCTGGCAGTGGGGTGGAGAGGGCCCAAGATGCTGATTCTTGGCTGAGCTGCTGTCCAGCCTTCCTAAGGGGCACTTGCTCATTTGTTCACCCACGTTCATTGTGCAAATTCTCTGTGGTCAGATTCCAGCTGGTCTTTCTTCCCCTCTTTATCTCTTTCATCTATTGCAGATATTGGCTCTGTTTCTGATTCACTCCTGCCCTCATACCTCTAAACTCTCCTTCAGCTCTTGTCAGCCTTGGGATTCAGGGATTGCTCAGACCCAAGTTAAATACATCTGTCCTATGAAAACTTTCCTGACTACTTCCCACCCATGTATATTAAGGGCTTTGTGTTATTGTCCCTCCTGGATGAGCTTCTGGGACCAGACATTTTTTCCCTTGGGGCTTGTGGATGAAGGGCAAAGAGCATGTCAGATGTCCATATGCCACCTCCACCCAAAAGAGGCTCAATTAAATACCTATGGTGCTCAGGCCTCCACTAGGGCAGTTCAGAACAAAAAGGAGCCACTGTCCCGACCCCTGGGCGCCCCAGTTCAGAAGATACCAGAGGTGTTTTGACCTCCTATCTTTGCACATAGCAATGCACAAAAGTAGCTGTTTCTGGTGAGCTTTACTTCCAAACTCATTCTTAGCAAGTAAGGAGGCAAATGCCATGACCAAGTCCCATTCTACAAAGGATAAAGTCTAGATAGTGACCTTTTCCCAGCAACTCCCTGCTGCACAGAATGAAGACCATGCTGGTCATGACCTATAGCAAGAAATATATTTTCATCTCCAGTTAGTACATACATATCCACTGTTACAGGTGAAACAGTCACAAAGCAGGACTTACACTTTCTACTGTGAGACTTTTGGATATTTTCTGTTCTAGCCATTCTAATTTCATTTTTAAAAATATTGGGGCTACCAAATTGATTTCGTATCTGTTAAAGTGTCAGGACATACCAACATAAAAATCATTATGGCAGTTGTCAAGACTTCTTTCTGGAGTCATATGGACCCAGGTTTGAATCCTGACCCTGGTGCATAGGAACCATGTATCCTTAAGCAAGTTACTTCTTAATTTTTTGCAATAGAAGTCTCTGTTTCTTCATCTGTAAAATGGGGATAACATAAAATGGACTTCATGGAGTAATTGGGAGGATTAAATGGGATGATACAGGTAAAGTTCCTGACACAGAGTAAGTGGTCGATAAATGTGAGTTTTTGACATGGTCATAAAGATTATGGTTTTTATTACCTGGCACCACTTGGCAAGGGAAACAAAACAAAGGTGGAATTCCTGCCCCAGAGAAATGGCAGTCAGGGAGGACTTCCTGGAGGAGGCAGCACTGGAGCAGGCCTGCTGAATGACCATGGCCCACTACTGTCGTCACAGTGATTGAAAACCTTATGAGAGCATCTCAGGGCTACTTGTTTTCATTCCATGAAGAGCAGACTTGTTCCCAAGGATTGTTGGTTGGACCTAGAGCCAGCCACATTAGATGCCTTTGCCTTTCACATTTAGGTCTCTAATCCACCTGGAATTGATTTTTGTGTCTGGTGTAAAGTAAAGATCCAATTTCTTTTTTCCTCCTGGTTTCTGAATGGATAATGGGTTACCCTGCACTGTTTATTAGAACTCATCCTTCTCTGCTGATTTGTACCTCGCCTCTCTCATATATCAAGATTCCATACATGCATGGATCAGTTTCTGGACCCGATTCTATTTCATTGGTCTATTTATCTGTGCCGGTGCCAATCCCACACTGTCTTCATTACTATAGCTTTTTAGTGGTTCCCGATGTCGGGGAGGTGTTGTCCCCGTCTTGTCCTTCTCTCTTTGGAGCACCCGGGCTAGCTTTGGGCCTGTGTCCTTCTTTGAATGTTTCAGAATCAGCCTCTGCTGGAGATCATTGAGGAGCCTGGGGACTCTGGACAACTGTGCTCAGTGAGGCTCCATCTCAGCACGCTTGGCCCTGCAGTGCCTTCTGTACTCTGCTGTCACCCACCTGGTTGGCATTTGAGCTGACCAGGAGGTTTCTTCTCACTCATTTGTGGAAAAGATGACTAGGAATGTGCCTGAGCCCGAGTGCCTTCTGCCTGCTACTTGCCCAGCGGTCCCTTCTGTTTCCCCCAGTAGCCCAGTCCTTATCATCTTGCCCATGGTGCCAGCAACTCCTTTCAGAAGACTTGCTTCCCTGCCTCTGTCTGCCAAGGACGTGATCCTAATAGTGACTAGTGATGTGCTCTCCGTCAGCAATGTCAGGGTCCTGGAGGGAACTCCCCACATGTGGTTGGCACGCACCACCAAATCCTTTGCCTTAGGCATTTGCAAATGTTTTCTTTACCTGCAAATAGGCCTGGGGGTTGGGTGGGAAGATGGAACCTGTCACGCACACTTATAATTTAGTCCTTTATGGTAAGACCCATCTGACAGTGGCTTGGATGCTGCAGAAATGACTCATTGCAGACTCTGATTTCATGAAATGACTGGAAGGAGGGTGACTCATGGCCAAGTGCACACAGTTGGCGTGCACTTGGTGAAGTCCATATATATGCACCGCATAGCGTGCAGCATACAGGTGTTTACATACTTCCAGAATTTAAAACCACCAGCCAAGCTGCAGCTTAGTTGGTTTGACGCATGGGATTTTGGGTGAGAGTTTATGGTGAACCATCCCTCGAACTGGGATTCTACCCTTTGGCCATGGGCAAAGCCTTCCTCCCCTCAGGCTTCAGTTTACTCATCTGTGATGAGGTTTTGGACTGGAGAATGTCCCCAGTTCCTTGTTTCTGTGATTGCACTTCTGTGATTTAAGAGCAAGAAATCATAAACCTTGCTTTCCATCCTCTTGGCCAGGAGACTCCTATTTCTGCCTTGCATTACTGATGTCTCCCTCCTTGCATTCAGGCAGATGGCTCTCGCTGGCCATGGGGCTGGGCGAGGGGAGCCTGTGGGCCATGAAGAAGCCAGATTTGAATTCTTGTGAAGTTGCAATGAATCCTGCCCATCTCTTAGATTTTATATGCCTGTCTGATCTGTTGAGCTGAATCTGCCCTCTCAACATGGGGGGATTGTGAATCCCTGTGGGCCTCGGTGCTGGCATGGGCAAGCCCAGCTACATGACTGAGCTAGAAATGGCCATGGCATTTGGCTGGGGTACTTTGGCATCTCCACACTGAGCCATCTCTGCTTTGTTTCCTCTTTCAGACCACTGAGTATTCAGCCATGGCCTCACTCGCTGGAGGACTGGACGACATGAAGGCCAACCTGACCAGCCCCACCCCCGCTGACATTGGGAGCAGCGTGCCTGGGCCTCAGTCCTACCCCATTGTGACAGGTGAGGGCACGTAGGGTATGAAGGATGAGTACAGGGTTGGGGGGTGGGGAGAGAGAAAGAGAGAGAGAGAGAATGAGAGAATGAGAATCATGTGTGGTGGGAAGAATGGCTTAGTGCCTTTGGATTTGTGCTGGTCATTTTTGTTTTAATGAGATTATGAGGTCTTAGAACAGGTCAGACCAGACTGCTGGGGCCAGGAGTAGTGTCTGTGATGAGATGTAGCTGCATATTGCTCTGATAAAACAAGGAAAGAGCAAAAGTCAAAAGGACTGTGGACTAGGAGGGCTGATAGGAAATATTCCTGAGAGGGGGGCCTGGGTGATCTGGGAGTCCCTTGTGAATAAGGGTTCAAAGGTCTGAGATGTATCCTTCTTTGGAAAGCATAGTCCCTGGTCGGTGCCATCTTCAAGGAAGAGTGTAACTTCAGGCATGTTGTCATTGGCATTTCAGATTTTCAGCAAAGGTTGAGTCACAAAGGGCAGGAGGTTTAGGCCAGAAGGTTCTTGGTGTATGTGAAATAGCTGGCTTTCTGGAAGGCCTACAACTAGCCTCTTTAGCTGTCAGTATTCAGATGAAGAATTTGGATCTGGGAGGTACACTGCTGGGTTGGAGCTTGCCATTGACTAGCTGTATAATCTTGAGCTAGTTATATATGCTTTCTGGGCTGTGGTTTTCTGATCTGTAAAACGGGGCTAATGATAGCCCCTCCCCCATAGTGTTGTGGGGATTAATGTGTTAATACATACAAGGTGCTTAGGTGCTCCTCTAGCACACAGCAGGTAGCCAACACATGTCAATGTTATTCCTCCCATGGCCTTTTCATGGTGGCTGGTCACCACTGGGCCAATGCTGCAGAAGAGGTTACACAGGCAGGGGCTAGTAGCAATGGGAGAAACTGGAGAGACAGACTCTGGGAGGTTGTCCAGCCTGGAAGGCAGGAGGCAGTCTGTGCAGAGAGAGGGGTCCTGGGTGGCAGCGCTAGGCCAGAACCTGGACACAACAAATTGTGACAGAGCAAGGGCTCTTACAAGTGCAGGAAGACTGTGGCTGAAGCAGGGAAACTAGGCCCTGGACTTGGATGAGAACTTTGGGGAGGGGAATGGATAGTCCTGTGTCACATAAGCCCCAGCAGAGAGGCCTAGCTCTGAGACTGAAGCAGAAGCAGATGCAGTCGGGGCCTATTTGCAGACCCCAACACCATGTGGAGGTCAGTCCAGTGGCAAGAGTTCTTCGTCCCCCCACCATCTATGATGCGGCAAGAGCCTGGTCAGGCAGCTGAGACTGCAGATGGAGGTGTCACCATGGGCCAGTCATGGGGGCCAGCAAGCCTTGGTCAGTGTGAGCAGATGTCCCTGAGGTCCTCCCCCCATTATCCTGAGGTCCTATGACAATACCTCTGATGGCTCCCCCTGCCCCCATTTTACAGATGTAAAAAATGAGTTTCAGAGAGTGGTAGTGGTTTGCCCCATATGAAAGGTAAGGGAGACTTGAGCTGACCCTTAGTCTCCAAGACCCTGGGGTTGTTATTCTTTTCAAGGAACTGCAAATAATTAATGAGTCAGGGTGGTGAAATGGAAGGAAGCCTGGGCTAGTTAATAATAATAGTAACTGTCCCTTTATCCAGTGGTTACTCTGCTAGTAAGTTAGTTTTACCCTCAGAGCATCTCTGGGAGATGAGTACTCTACTATCATTTCTATTTCATAAATAAGGAAACTAAGGCTTGGGCAATTAAGTAACTGGTCTGAGATCACAGCTGATGAGCAGCTAAGTTAAACTTAAATGTCTGGACCCTCGTAGTCAGCTACTCTGCCATACACATCATCTGAGGACTAATCCCAATGCTGCCATGTCCTTTATGTCTGACTCTGGACCCCTCTGTGAACCTTGGTTTTTCCATCTGTACTATGGTCCTGGTCTCACTTGTCTTGGTGAGGATCAAATGAGTTCCCCAAGGTGACTGCTCTGCAAAGTTTGTTGTTAGGATTGAGATTCATAGGAGGCTAGGTACAGGCACATCACAGGATGAGCTGCAGTCTGCCATCTATACCCCAGTCTGTACAGATGGGAAAGAAGCCAGTCAATATTGAGGCCTTGCTTGTACTTCTGAGACTTGTCCACTGGACTGGTAGACAGGTGGCCACAGGTTAATTTAGTCCACAGAGAGGGTTAGTCAGGTCACAAAGGATTTAAGAAAAAATGTGAGGCAAACTTTGAGAAATAAAAATCTGGATTTTTGCTTTCCCTTGAAAAATCAGAAGATCTCACCACATTGGGCCATATTCCCACAGGGTCATGGGATGTGGGGTCTCCATGGCAGAAACCCCTCAAGACAGGGCCCCACTGCCCCCATTTAACTGTGCTCTCGTGTACCTTACAAGTCTACCTGGAAAGGAATTTTAAAACTGCATAATAAAACAACGATGCAAAGAAATCACTAAAAAGAAAGCCATTAGCTATCAAAGATTGAAATGTTTATTGAGATCCAGTGTTAGAGAGGGAATGCAAACATACTTTCATAAACTGCTATGGGTTTATTGTACCAAAAAATATTGTATTTAAAATTTTGTCAAAATTTTAAATGTACATAGCTACTATATAAGGACATTTATATGTACTTTTAGAACTTTATATCACAGATATATTCACAGAGGTGTACAGTGATACTGTATCTGTATAATTACTACAGAATTATTTATAATGGCAAACAAGTGGAAATAACACAGTGTCTACCAATAAGAGAGATTAAATAAATTAATGCTCTTTCACACCACAGAATACTATGCAACTAGTAAAAAGAATGAAGTAGAGCCATCTGCGTTGACTTGAATAAATGTCCCAGACATATTTTCAAGTAAACAATTTAAAGGATAATATGTTAAGTGTGATTCTATTTGGTAAAAATATAAAGGTGACACACTCAGAGACACAGATGCACTTATGCAGGTCAGATGCTGGTATGTGAGGAATCAGTGGAAAACCCACTATTTCCCCTGCTTTATGGGGCATCACAGTGCTGTGCCAGAGCTGGGGTTCTCTGCGCATTCCTGCCCAGTGTCCCCTTGAAATAGCAAATATTTACAGTGCTCCCTTATTCTCCTGAAGTTAAGCTCATAAAAAATTTAGTCTACCATGTTTAATTTCAAATAATATGAGATTAAGAAATGAAAACAAAATTCTGTATAGTTAAATACTGTGTACTTCGACCATACTCTGCATGTCTACACTGCAAGACATGCTGAAGGAGTCAGCTCAGCATCACCCCATGCTCAGAACCACCACGAGTGGAAGAGCCCTGACCACGGACTCGTGCAGGAGTGTGGGCTCAGGGATCACGCCGCCAGCGTGGTTTTACAAATAGTGAGGAGCTCTTGGCAGAGCGCCAAGTAAAACAAAGTACGGGCTTTGCTCGATTTACATGGTAGTTACATTCCTAGAAATTCAAGGAAATTGCAAGTTCACATTTACATGTAAATGAAGTTCAGTTCTAGATTCAAATAATTATAAACAGATTTTTCACCTACATGAATGTTGGGCAGGAGATGGCAATTGTGCAGCATGGAGGAAAAGTCTTTGTTGTGTGAGAAGCCAATAATACTCCTCATTCATGTAAAAAGTCCCACAAAATTTCAGACACCCTCTAGGAAGGAGTAGCCAACCCTACCCCCACCCCCCGCCCCAGAATTGTGAGAACACCTTGAGGGAATGTTCCCAGAGAGTTGTTGGGGTGAACTTCCATGTCACTATGGGCATTAATTTAATTCCACTTGTGCTCACGATGTGTTGACACAGTTGTGAATTCTTCAGGAATTCAGAATTCAGAAGCTTGACTCTTCCCTCCTCCTTATTTTCTCCCCTCCCTACAAAACCCAGAGTGTAGTAGATGCTCAGCCAGAGCGTGAGTCCAGCCCAGGGTTCCAGCTCAGGGTTCCAGCCAGCTGTGCCAGCCTGGGGCCTCAATGCTCCATCCCGGCCCTCACTCTGGGCTGCCCAGGAAAGATCTCATTAGCGAACGAGTCGATATCTCTCCCTCGTTTATATGCCACATTAAATATTAAGTTAAAACCCTGCTCTATCAACCAGGGCCACGGTTCAGAAACCGCTCACCATTTGCAAACCAGTGACATGGCCGGCCACTCCTGCATTGTCAGCACTTTGGGCCTTTCCTGATTGGGACTAATTATCTGCAGATGTGTCCTTGGGCCACGGGCCTGCTGTTGGGGCGGCTATGATGCCTACCTGCCTGAGAGGACAGTGGGTGGGTGCCGGAGAAGGCCCCAGCTGCCCGGCCCCCTGCTGTGCCCACCTGACCCTTTGCCTGGGAGAACAAAGGAATGGGGCCGCATGTATCCTTACGGGTGCCTCCCCGAGGACCATCTCTTTGCATCAGCAGGTTGGAATGTCAGGAGGAGGCTAAGGGAGTCTTCTGGTCAAACAAGCTTGGGAAATTCTGACCTAGTAGATGACCCAGACCATTGTCTAAGGCTCCTCCTATTACTGTCCCCTCTGAGACTATGCCATGGGGCAGCGGGTGAACACCCACAAAGACAGACAGAATGGCTGCCAAGTCCCGGAGACTACCAGCTTTGGTTTGCTGTAGCCCTCAGGCTTAATGTTTGGGGTCTCACTACCCCAAACTTCGTCCTTGAAGTAAAGAAAGTCTACCCTCTTCTCCCTTTATCATTTGAGCACTGGAGGAAAGAGCACTCGGCCAGGAGTCAGGGGAATGGGTTGAAGCCTCAACTCTGCTTCCATACGGTCCTTAGGTGAATAGACTCTCCTCTTAGCCTCAGTTTCCCAGTCTATGAAATGGGGATGACGACTCCTGCCCTGCTTGCCTTCCTTGGCTATTACAAGCTATAATGAGACCGTGTGGGGACAGGGTTGGAGAACCACAGGGGAGTGTTGCAGTGTGTGCAGACCCCTGTGGGAGGGGACCCCGATGGGTGCGGGATCCAGGGTTGGCACTTCCCAGCCTGCCTCAGAGCAAACATGCTGACCA